GGCCATGTTTATTTTGCCTATCCTGTTAATCACTGTATCCCCCTGCCTCCCACAGAGCCTGGTCCAGCGTGGGTGATGGATACCGGCTGTGGAATGAATGGATGGATGGATGCCTGGGTGAATTTGTAATACTCCTTCATGCCCCCCACCCCCATCACCTTGATCCCACCTCTGCTACATTCTATTTGTCAACATGTAGGCCAGGAGGCAGAAGGGCTTCCTGGGACATTTTGTTTCTGTTCTGGTCTAGGACACAACACGATGACCGGGCAAACAGATGGCTTGATCATTTAACATTGTTCTATTTCAAGCAAAACGTCCTGGCGAGATTGACGCTCAGTGACTCCAACCTGCTACAAGGCTCTTTGGAATGAACTCCTCTGGTTTGGTCCTGCCTGCCAAACACATTCCCCAAGTCCTGTCTTTCCTGGTCCCCTGAGAGGCTGCTGCAGGTGCAAACACTCCCTCCTCTTAGCCAAAGGAGAACTGGGGTCTTTACTCTCAAGGCATAAACAGGAGGAGCATCAGTGGCAGTAGCTGCTGGCCTGGGACGGCCCAGCTTGCTAAGCACTTGCTCCCACCTGGAGAGCCTTGTGGGACTTTGCCACTCTGCCCGCCACAGCTGCTCTCTTCCTGGGAAGGGGGGCCGGAGGCTGTGGGGCTGGCCTGTGTGGACAGAGGTGGGGGAGGCGATGAGGATGGATGCCAGCTCATTGCACTGAAACAAATGACTCCTATGCCCGCCAAAGGGATGCCAGAGGAGCTGGGAAACTAAGGACTTTGCTTATGCCTGTGAAAGTACCCGCTGAGAATCGTAGACTGGCGAGCAGGGGGCCTGACGGTGACTGTCAAGGGCTGGAGTGGCAGGGGTCGGGGTGGGGAAGAGTGCTGGGCTCCACAGCAGCTTCTCAGCCTCTGAGTGGCTCTCTGGGCCTTAGTCTTTACAACAAGATACTTAACCCGTGTGGATAGGCACTAGCCAATCAGAACGAAGGAGGGTTTCATTGCCTAGGTTTCAGCTGGCCTTAATCCCTTGGAGGCTGGAAGGTAAGAGTGATGGGGAGGGCTTGGAGGAGGGGCGAGGGTGCAGGAGTGGGCGAGGCCTTGGGGAGCTCAGATCAGCCACGGTTTACCTATCAGTACAGGCCCCTTTCAGTGTTAACAGCCAGTGTGGCCGCACTCCTGCTGAATGTCAGCTCTGCTGGAAAACACGAGAAAGGCGGGTTCGGTTCTCACACTCTACGTGCATAAGCATCACTGGGGAGCCTGCTGACAACACAGATGCCCGGTTCCCACCTCAAAACGACCAAGGCGCACTCTCTAGGGCCACGTGCGGCCCATTACGCTCCCTCCCGAGGCCACGTGCCCTGGACCAGCGGATCTCTAAGGATCCAGCTCTGACTGTCAGGGGTTTGCAAGGACTGAGAAGTGAAACCCGGCACACGGGGTCTAGGGGAACGTGCCCAGGTCAGGGGCAGGTCACGTGACCACGCCAGCCTGTGCAGGTCACGTGACCACGCCAGCCCGGCCCGTCCATTTGGCTGAAGCAACATTGGGCCTGGCCCAGCCCCGGGGTTGCTGCCGCTCAGGAGGGCGGCCGGTGTGAACCTGAATTTTCAAGAGACCTTGGAAGTCAGTGAGCCACGTCTTGTGTCACAGGTAGGGCATTGCTCTTCTGGCCCCAGAAGCCCTGTCTGCGGCCGGTGGCGGGCAGAGGGGTGTGGCTGGTCCCCCCAGAGGAGGGAGGAGACCAGCCCTAAGTGAGGGTCTGGAAGCCCCTTAAGGAGTCCGTGTCCTCAAGTACCGACCTCAGAGCCTGCCCTCAGTAGCTTGCCTAGCACAGAGCTGCCAGGTCCGGTCACAGGCCGAGGGGGCGCCCTTGCTAGGGACTTAGAGTGTAGCTGGGGGGTGGGGGGTGGGGGGTGGGGGGACACAGAGCTGTCATGGGAGGAAATGTTTGGCTCAGAGGCGAGGTGCTGGGGTCCTGCCAGGATCCCTGGGATGTTCCACAGAGGGGTGGGTTCTCTGGGTATAAGAGAACGTGCCTGTGTCACTCCATTTAAACTCAATCGCCAGATGCTTCCTCCCCTGCCTGGGACAGCCTTCCTCCCACCCCTTTCTCTGTCTGACTCTTACTTGTCTCAGACTCAGCTTAGATTGTGCTATAACCCCCGTGACTAGGCCACACTGGTCTCTTTTAACACCACAGCCCTGGGCGCGCCCTTATTTCAGACTTTCTCACCTGAAATATCAATGGCTTGCTGCCTTAAGAACATGCACGACTAACATTTGTTAGGTGTTTGCTCTGTGCCAGCACGGTTTAAGTCACTTTCTAGTATCATCTCCGTTAATCCTCAACAGCCCAGTGAAGTTGCACGGCTGTCCTCTCTATGTAAGAAAGCAAGGCCCAGAGAGGTTAAGTGACTTGCCCAGCATCACACGGCCAGGAAGTGGTAAATGCGGACTTGCACCCAGTCTGTGTGCACCACCTGCAACCACAGCACCCTGCCGCCTCCCGCAGGCTGAAGCCAGCATCCTGGGTTCACGCAGCGTCGTCCCAAGTGGGATGTGAAGGGAGGTAGCTTGAACTCGGGGGTGTGGGCAGCTATCAGTCTCGCTCTGCCGCTGCCTGTGGGTACTCTCCAGCCTCAGGGTCCTCGGCTCTATAGTGGGGACAGTTATACCTGCCTCGTAAGGTTGTTGGAAATCACTGTGGTGCCTGGCACATAGGCAATGTCTGAAATGTGTTGATGGGATAAATGATTGGAGGCGCCAGTGAGTTAAACTTTTACTGGGAAATAATACCCTCCTGCCCCTTTCAAATCCCCATTAGACTCCACCGAGATGGGATTTGGTTTGATGCTGGACCTGGGCGAAGAGGGTGGGTGGAGGGGGATGGCCAGCCTTTGGAGTTGTTTACAGTTCTCAGAGAGGTAACCCTATAGAGAGAGTGGACAATGGGAAGAATATTGTTTCATTTGGAAAGCATGAATTGCATCTCTATTACATCCAAAACAACCTGCTTGACCCCAACGGTTAAAAATGATCTGGAGCCATTGCTACTGAGTTGGCTGGTCATGTCCTATACCTGCCATTCTGGGTGTAGACTAGATTGCTAAACGTAGCGTGATTTTTTTTTTATAAAGATGAGGTGTAGGAACTCATATCATCCCATGTCTCCCTGTCCTTGTGTCTTTCTTCCATTTCCTCATGTGGGTCGTTCAGTGAGGCATGGAATTGGGATGCTGATTCTGTGGGGTAGACATGTGTCTGACCCGGTCTGACCTCTGTGCGTGGTTCCTTGATAGGATTATGGTTTTGTTTTTGTCTTATTAAGATCTGGAAAAGTGGCGGATGATTCACTTTGTCAAGTGTGTGGGTGGGTATGTAAAGTATGTGTTTTTATACCAGGACCTTGAAGAACTGGGAATTCTTCAAGAAAGGGAATGTTGTAAGCAGACCTGCCTTTTTTTACGGGAACCCAGCATTAGCAGCAAATGGCATTTGTGCATTAAAGTGCCCGCATTGCTGGGTATGCAGTGAATGTGAAATCCCAGCAGTGAAGTTTCATGAGAATGGATGGGGTCTGACAGCTCTGCCTTAGCTCTCGGGACGCCCTCCTACCATTTACAAGGCTGCCTGGGAGTCCCGCTCACTTCAGTCCCTTCCTAGTGGGGTCACCTAGTTGTGCAGATTCGTCCTCCTTCCCCCACCTGTCAGGAATGTCAAGGCCAATCTCTCTTTGAAATTCTTTCCTGATGCTTTTCCCCAATCCTCTCTTTCTCTTTTTCATCACCTCCCTGCTGTCTCTCTCTCCAGGATTTTCCTCCCCTCCTTCTTCTCCTCCTTTTCCTCTCCAGCATCCTTTGTCTAGCTCAGGGGTGGGGGACCTTTTTTTCTGCCAAGGGACATTTGGATATTTATAACATCATCTGAGGGCCATACAAGATTATTAACTTAAAAATTAGCCTGCTGTATTTGGTCAAACATTTAATCAACTCACCCCTAATGCCTTGGCAGGGCCAGACCAAATGATTTCGTGGGCCTTATACGGCCTGCAGGCCGGACGTTCCCCACGCCTGGTCTAGTCCCCTTGACAGTGGCTTTCCTCTAAGAAGTGCCCCCACACAAGCCTTGGGCTGGCATCTTCCCACGAACACGGATGGATGCCTTATCCTTCAACCGGTGAAACAGCTCATCTTCCCCGAAGGAGAAGGAATTAGAGAAACTAATGAACGTTGCAATGCAAACAGAATATCTACCGAAACCCAAACCCCTCCGCCTACAAGTTATTTGGAAGCTCGCTGTGCTTTCCTGGGGAGGTCAGCCTCCAGCTGGGTGGCTGGTCCATCGCACCACCCAGCACCACACCCACAGCTGCCTGCTCCCTGCTTCTCTCTCGCGTAAGACTCAACGTGGGAAATGGATTGAACACCTTGCAGCAGGATAAGCATTTGATACTAGGTAGTCAGCTTTCCCTCTGACCTTCTCATTGGGAGCAAGGCCTTTGGTATCTATCTCACACCCTCCCCAGAAATTCTCCCCCTGCCCCAGGATTTGGGACTCTGTGGAGGGAAAAGATATGGCAGCTCCTAGTGGCTGGAGTACAGGACCCAGAAGATGGCAGAAGCTCGTGGCGAACAGGGTGGCGAGGTCAAAAAAGCAATGCCAGCACTCCCACCACTGCACACCCCAGGGTGAAGCCCCTTTCGGGACACCACACCGATTCTACGCAGAACACAGGGCAAGAGCGCACACACTCCAGGCTGGGGGCGGGGCGGGCGGGATGGTCTCCCACTCTTTGGTCCGAGCAGCGGGCCTTGCTGTGTAGGGTCGTGATTTTGGAAGGCCCCATCTCCCCTCCCGCCCAGGACAGGAGTCCCTGCCCCCACCTCTCCTTTCCCAGAGATAAAATGGGCAGAACAAGGACCCAGGCTCGAGCACCCAAAGAATGGCAGGACACCCTCTGTGGAGGCAGACTGTATTTAAATGCAATTCACCTCTTTGGGGTCTAGGAAAAGCCACCCGTAGATTCATTTGCTGGGAAACATGGTCTGTGTGGCGGAGGCGGAGGACACTGGGGCCGCGGTCTTGCTGAAAGCTGACTTCCTCCGGGGGTCTGTCTGCTGTCCGGAATGGCAGCCGCTGCGGTGGGCGAATAGGATGGTCATCTCCGGGCCCAAGGGGGTGGCTTCAGGCTGGGACCCCTTAGGGGTGGCGGGATGTTCAGGCTTCCCGGAGGTGCTGTGTTTGGCGGGAGGAGGGCTGTAATTCTGAAATCTCACGGTCTTGACTTGCTGTGAGAGAAAGAAGAACACAGGGACCCAGGTGAGGGGGGAGGCATCCCTGGGACCTGCTTCATGCTGTTTCTCCGCTCTGGCCCCGCCTCAGGGCCTCATGTACGTGTTCATTCAGGAACTGCGTGTGTCTACCACGCATCCCACACTCTGTGAGGAGCTGTGAACCCGAGTGAATACAGTTGCCCTTGACAAAAAGACAATTGTAACCATAAGCGCCAGGATAGGGGACGTATAGATGCTCAATGCAGACGAATATGAAACTAAAGCTGGAGGGCGGGTATGCAGGGACGGCTTCCTAGAGGCCAAGCTAGTTCCGTTGAGAACTGAAGATTCATTAGGAATTCTCTAGAAGAAATCTGCTAGGCCTGCCTGGGAAAGGGCCTGAGGCCAGAGGTCTGGTCTATTCTGGAAAGTCTCAGTTCACCTTCCCTCTCTCCTCTCCGCCCGCCCTGGAGGCCTAACTCAAGGTGCCCTCTTCCTGAGGCCCCCCTGCTGATGCCATCTGGAGAGCCCCACAGGCTGAGAGGTCCTCAGAGAGGTTTGCAAACTGGACACCTGCGGGCTGAATTTAGCCTGCAGCATGTTTGAGAGCTGTAGGAAGTTGGGAGATCGCACATCGAAATCAGTCGTTCGTATGTCTCTTTAAAAATCAGAGATCCGGCACGCTGGGCCTGAGCCCCAGTTTGGCAACAACTGACGAGCAGTCTCTCTCCATAGGGAGGTATGTCCCCTGTTTGCACAGGCCTCGCCTCTCCCTCCTTCCGCCTCTCCCTCCTTCCACCTCTCCTGGCTGTTACCCACCTGCCTGGTGCCCACACGCATCGGCCCACACGCATCGGCTTTGGTCGGTCCCTCTCTCGGGGCTTAATAAAGTGCTCTGCGTACTGCTTAGGAATGATTTATTTTTTCTAGTGTCCCCCACTGAGAATCCAGGTTTCTTCACACTAGACCTTGATCATATCTAGCAGAGGCCTGGGCACTTACTGGACGCTTGCAGTTTGAAGGCTGTATCTAACAGCGTGCGGGGACGGGCAGCTGGGGCCTGGAAGGTTTTGACTTACTTGAAAACGAGAATTCAGGAAAAACAAAACAAAACACCACCTCCTGACATTTCCATCAGTCAGCACGGACTTTTTCCAAATGCCTTTCCCTATAAGCTTAGCGTCAGGAGCATGAGTTGTTGGGTTAGATCCGGATTCCACTCCAGATACTTGTGCGTCAGCTGTGTGCCTTTGGGTAATGTGCTCTAACTCCTCAAGCCTCCACGTCCTCATTTTAAAATGAGGACGACAATGATAATACTACTACTTCAGAGGGTTGTTGTCAGGATGAAACGTGAAGCAATTAGCACAGTGCCTGCCAGGTCATTAGCAGTCAGTCAGTGTGTGACCAAGAGAAGGGGACCGCACCGCCTTTCCAGGTCAGGGGGAATGGGCGGTGGCGGTGATGCTATGATGGTCAAGAAACTAAAAGATAATAAGCATTGCCCAACTTCCTAATGTCACCTCCTCCATCCTCCATCCCTCCTGCTTCAAGGGTGTTAACAAAATCTCTTATGTCTTCTAGTGGGAAAAGCCCTGAAGTAGAAATGAACATCTCTGATCTCTGCCACAGTTGTCATAATTCAGTGTGACCTTCTTCTATACCATGAACAATTATGTATCAAGCCCTCTGTAAGCGCTGTATACATCTTTACTCACTTAATCTCCACCCCAATCCTATGAGGCTGTTACTAGTATTCTTACTGCCACCATTCTACAGATTAGAAAAAAAAAAGAAGTCTCAGAAAGGGGAAGTGTTTTGGCCAAAGTCACCACCTAGCAAGCAGCAGAGCTGGAGTTCAAATCCAGATTTCTCTGATGCCAAAGCCATGTTTTTCCCAAGCCACCTTGTGCCTTGAAAGAAGTGTTTGAAATATTCAGAGAGGATGTGAGGATGCAGAGGGGGTTGCATGTAGAGGTCCTTCAGGGGCAGTAATTTTGATTTCTCGTCCACTAAGACTAGAATCTCAGGAGCTGGGACACTGAGCCACGCTAGGGGTCTGAAGAGTCATGGCCCCAAGGTCAGCTCACTCCTACCTTTTCGCTGCTGTTTCTGGAGTTTTCTGGCTTCACCAGGATGGATGGTGGGGCAGATGCAGGCGGTTTGAGTGGAGGCTCGCTCTTGATGGGGATTTCCTTGCCTTCCATGATGATGGAGCTGGCGGTTGAGTGGATCCTGGACTCACTGCCTCTGCTGATGCACGTGAGGGCAGGCTCCCCCGTGGGAGTCGGCTTGGGTCCCATCTCCGCCACCACCATCAAGGGTGAGGAGGGGACCGCCTGTGGCTGGTGGAACTGGAACTGCTGAGGCCGGACGACCATGGTGGGGCTGCGTCTGAGGGAGCCCACCACAAGGGTGGGGATTCCTGACGGGACGGGTCTCTGCAGGGATCCATCTGGGGAGTCACATGACAGAGATATCAGCAACGGGATGGGGTGGAGGGGGGGGCGTGGAGGGGGGGGGGCGGAGGGCGCAGCAGGCTGGGTGAGCAGTGTGTCCTGATATCCCAGAATAGTTAAGTGCTTTCTCAATCTGACCGCACGCACATTCTCTCAGGGTCTTTCAAAGGTGACCTTATTCTTTTTTTAGTGCTGTTTGCTGATGCTGGCAGCAAATAAGTGGCTAGCTGAATGTTAGAGGAGGGTGTTAGAAGGTATGTTACTTTCTCTCTCTCTCTCTCTCTCTCTCTCTCTCTCTCTCTCTCTCTCTCTTACACACACACACACACACACACACACACACACACTCCTACTCTCTCCCTCCAGACCTTTAAGATGGAAAGTGAAGAAGATAGACCTAGAGAGAGCTTCACAGCGAGAAGCAAACAGAGGTGTGCAGACCAAAGAGGAAACAAAAGCCAGAGAACGAGAGAAACCGAGAAGAGAAACTGAGAAACACAAGAGTCAACTGAGAGGGAGGGAGAGGGGAAGGAGAGGCAGGGAGGGGACTCTGGCCAGCGACGTGAAGAACATGCTAACAACAGCTTTAGCTAGAATGTGGTGGGATTGCTTTTAGCTGGGCTTCGGGGCGGGTGGGTGGGATTCTGAGAGAGCGGGTGTGCAGGCGGATGTGGCACCAGAGGGAAGCAAATCTGGAAAGGTGACTCCGAGGGAGGTGTGTGCGGATGAGCCTCGCAGAGCCCCTGACACGAATCAGATCTACTCCCAGGGAGCCTGGGACAGGTCAGTCCCCTCAGCCCCCTCATTCGTGAACCGGAGCTAATAGCAGCGCCCGGAGGGCTGGCGCGAGGATTACATTTCAGGATGTATACAAAGTGTTAGGACTGCGCCTGGGGCCTAATAAATGGCCCATGCTTGTTAGACATCATTTGTGGGTAAAGGATAGCAAACCCTAAAAATGCGAGGTCTGCCCAGCCGGTGTGACTTAGTGTTTGAGTGTTGACCTATGAAGCAAGAAGTTGTGGTTCAATGCCCGGTCAGGGCACATGCCCGGGTTGTTGGCTGATCCCCAGTGTGGGGCATGCAGGAGGCAGCTGATCAGTGATTCTCTCTCATCATTGATGGTTCTGTCTCTCTCTCCCTTTCTCTCAGAAGCTAATAAAAATAAAAATAAAATGCAAGGTCCAGGAGTTTGGTTTTGCCCCTTCCCTAAGCTCTTGTTCTTTTTGTTAACAGAGATGATCCCCTCTCATTTAAAAGCCGTTCCGCTCACATCCCCTGGAGACAGGAGATCCTCACCCCTTGGGAATATGTCCTGTAGGTATTTGGGGAATAATCAGGAGCTCACAGCACTCGGGGGCCAGGGGGGAGAGACACCCCTGAGAAGCATTGTGGCCATTTCTCCATAAGGGTCCGCAGCGCTGAGAGGCACAGGTGGCGTGGCTCAGCCGTTTGTGTCCCGCACAGGGGCCCGCGCCAAGGCCTTGTTCTGCGCTGTGACTTTTCGTCAAGCCGGACGTGAATGTGAAAAGCAGAATGCTCGCCACTCACATTCGGCCTTCTCAGCCGCTGCGAGCAAGCCAGTCACCATTTACAAGTCTGACCTTTCCACATGGATATTTATTTTGCCACGGTCAGCCCTGTGAGGTCATTTCTGCTGTCATTTCTCTTCGCTTCGGGGAGACTGAGAGCTTGACCAGCCTCACCTCGGGAAGGGGAGAGAGAGAGAAAGCCTCCCGGATCTGGAAAAGTCAGAGCGGCACTGGGCAGACGTGGCCTCGGGCTCCCAGAAACGTGTGAAAAATTGCCTTACCTATTTATTTTGTTGGTTCCTAACTTCCAAGAGAGCTAACGCTTTCTCATTGCACGTGCGTGCAATGCAAACAGTCAAAGCTCCGAGTTAATCAAGATGTGCGCAAAGGCAGGGAGCGAGCCCATGAGAGGAAAGTGAGTAGTTGCTGGTGGGACGCACTGCCTGGCTTTGTAAGTGGTCCAGGCTGAGTCTCCATGAGCGCAGGCTCTGGATGGAGCAGAGATGATCTGCTTAGTGGCAGTAGCAGTGATGAGACAGATACAATAATAATACTATAAAATAGTTATTTCTCAAGAGCTTATTACGGGCCAGGCACTGTGCCATCCCTCTTATGTGGATTATTTTATTAAATCCATACAATAACCCTGATGAGGTTGGTACTGGTTTTATTTCCATTTCCCCCCACTTATTTCCATTTTACGAATGAGAGAACTGAAGACTGAAGAGATTAGTAACTGGCCCAAGGCTGTTATGGTGGGATCAATTACTGTGTGTGTGTGTGTGGGGGGGAAGAGGGTGGGTATAAGGTGGAGGTGCTGGAGGGAGAAGCAGGGAGGACAGTCGGTGGAACTGAGAGGCAGGCGTGGTGGCACTGAGGTCCAGCAGGTGACCAGATGAAAGCACTGGGAGTGGGTGGAGCTAAGATATGAATTTTCCTGGGACATTTTCCTGTGTGGCATATTGCCTCACTGTTTTGCTCTGACTAGTCAGTCTTATTGCGTCTTCACATGGAATCATTTTTTTTTAAAGATAGCAGAGTCCAGCTCAAATCAGAGGACGCAGAACGAATCAAGTTTACTTTGCCTGGCTCATTGTCTCCTTCTAGAAAGGTGTATAAATAAATAACAGAATCTTGCTGTTTTGTAGGACAATGGGTTTCAAACACTTTATAAAATCCTTGAAAATTAGGCCTCATGTGGAAGTTCAGTGTTTTAGGATATAAAAACATGGCTTTTAAGAGGCAAGCTCTATATTACTGCCATGTGTGCAGGTGGCTGTTATGGGTAAAAATAAAAGCAAGGTGCAGGACAGTGCCGTGAGTATGATGACAAAGTATAGAAGTACATGGAAGAGAACTTGAGACTGGAAGTGAAGGATATAAGGAGACTTACTTTTGTACAACATAATTCTTTTTTTCTTTAACCTCATGCATATATTAGTTAAATAACAAAATGGGATTCAGAGGCTCTTAGCGTTGACTTCTTAACTTTCTTTTCCTTTCTCCCCTCTTCCTTTCCCTTGTTTTCCTTCTGACACCCCTGAGGGGTTCCCTGGAACATAATTTGAGAAGCACTGCTCCAGCAAGTGCTTTCTTTGGTTGTTCCCTCTTAATGAGAGCCAGCATCCACCTTGGCTGTGTTCTAATTACAGGTTGGCACTCAGGGCTGCCGTCCTCCCAGTCAGTCAACGTGCATGTATGAAGTGACTGGGCAGTGACCTTGAGTGGGTCAGTCTGCATCCAGTAGAACAGCTCAGTATTTGGGAATCATAAAAAAACCTTCCACCGAGGCTTGTTTTAAAGCCAAGATCCTTATTTTTGCAGGAAGCACTCTGTCCACCGAGGTCAATCTCTCCACCCCCCCACCACCACCAGTCACTTAGCTCTAGGCACATACCTCTCTGCCACCACTTACTCTTTCTCATGCTGCCCCGTCCTTTCCGGAGAGTGCTCTGTCCTGAAGTGCCCAGGCTGGCTGTGCTCCGCACGGGGTTGACTATGGCCGTGGGCACAAAGACGGACTTGAAGGGGCGGCTTTGTCGGGGATCACCTTCTGAAATGCTGCCTTGGGAGGACACAGAGGAGGTCGACAATGTCCATGTGGCGTAGAGACCAGGGCTCCGGGGGTCTGGAAAACTAGATGTCTTTCTGGGTGTGGAAATTGTTTTCAAAAGAAACAGAGAAAGCAAATGGTCAATCAAGAGTCCTGTTTTAAAAACCTACCAGCTCCCAGCCGTAGACCAGATGTGGCTCTTCCTCACCCTCTTTCTACCCATAAACATGCTTTTTGTCAACGACGTGGGCTTAACTACGTAGCCTCGTCCTACGCTTGCTGACTGTGGGTGTGTTGAGGGTCTCATAAGGGTCCTTTCCGTGTTCGCCTGGCTTTGCCATGGCGATTCCTTGTCCATTCAGGGACTCTCTGAAGGCAGAGATTTTACATGACCTACGTGTCCTACAGACCTTAATTATGAATAAATGTTTGCTGAGTGGCTGCCATGATGCTTTCAGCCCTGATGCCAGTCATTCTGGCTAACACATATTGAGCACTTACTGTATGCCAGGCAACAGCCAAGTGCTTTGCCCACATGATCTCATGGATTCTTCACAACAGCCCTTTGAGGCAGGTTATTATGAGTACTGCTATGTTACAGAAGAAAGTAAAAGGAGATTTAGAGGTACTTGCCCAAGCAACTACTACTCTACCACTGAGCGACATCACCTGCGCTCTCACCACTGCGTACACAACCTTGGGGCTAGTGAGAGCATTCATCATCTGGTAGCAAGGAAAACCTGCATCCCACTTGAAAGAAACTGAGTAAAGCAGTGGGTAGGCCCTAAACGTGCCACCGTAAGACATCAATTCTTCAGCCTTGGGGTCTGATTTTTGATGCTAGCATTCAAATTTTGTAAAACAGCAAGCAACCCCCTCTCCATTGTTCCCAGGCTGCAAGTCCCTGAACCCCATGGGGAAAGGCTGTCAATCTACATGCCCTTCTTGCCCTTGTACCAACAAGTCCTCCCCCAACATCACAGCCTCTCCTAAGCAGCCCATCCGTCACCTTGTCACTCTGTTGATGAAATAACCTCGGCTAATTACCTGGGAATAACCAACTTGACCATGGCCCCCGGCACAGAGATGCCCTCCTCCCTCCTAGTTTCCTGCCTGTCAATGCCTCCAGGTTTCTCTTTGGGTAATTTCCTCTTATTTTCCTCCTTTTCTCTCCTTTTGCTTAAAAGTGATATGTGGTTTAATGATGAGCCGGCCAGGGTTGTACAAAGATGAGTAAGGCATCCTTTAATGTAGCCAATCCTGCCCAAGACAGGTATGCAGCCCGATGCACCAGGAGCTGATGGTGCAGGGGAGTGGGCTGCCCACCATGAAGAGCCCACACTACATTGGAGGTGATGGCCGCTGGAGGGGAGAGACCCCCAGCACGAGCTTCCATGACATAGTCTGCATCTGCCTGTCTTTTTTTTTTTTAATAGTCAACAGGCTATTTTTAGAGAGAGAGAGGAAGGGAGAAGAGAGAAACATCATGTGAGAGTGCAACATCGATCAGCTGCCTCCTACACACTCCCCCATAGAGATCGAGCCCACAACCTGGGCATGTGCCCTGACTGGGAATCAAATCAGCAACCCCTTGGTGCATGGGACAACACCCAACCAGCTGAGCACACTGGCCAGGGCATGAACCAGCCTGTCTTTTGAATCAAAGCTTTAAGGTGCTAGATGCTGCAAAATGGATTGAAAACAGGAGAGAATGCTTCCAGAACTGTTTCCGGCAGCAGCAGCAGCAGCAGCAGCAGCAGCAGCAGCAGCAGCAGCAAGGAATTAGGCCCAAGCCAGCTTTCTTCCACCAGTCCTGTCTTTAAACAGACTGACATTCGACCTCCGTTTTCTAGTCTAGCACTAGGCTGTTCATTTAACAAGGGGCCCCTCTGAGTCTTAGCTCAGCACTTCCCTAGCACTTTCTTCTGACATCAGAGCACTTTGCACACAGATATTAATCAATCCCCATGACACCTCAGGCCTGCAGACATCATGATGCTTGTTTTCTAGCTGGAGAGACTGAGGGACATTCAGGCTTGAGTGCAAGGAGCACGTGTTGCCTCTGATTCGCTCCACGGAGCTGCTTTGAATGTGCAGGTCCCTGTGTCCTTTCTTCTATCTGTGACATGAGCCCTTAAGAACTTGCCAAATATTTGAAAGGGGCATGGACCTTGACAATTTTTATGTAGTTCTGTGTAGAAAGCTAAAGGAAAATGAGTGCTGGCCCATGAGTCACTGGGAGGGCACGTGTACCAGGTATTGGGAGAAGTTTGCAAGAAAAAAAAATATCCTGGCTAACTGGACAGAAGGGAATTTATGGGGAGGACGGGAGGGTGTGGAAAAGGCCTGGAAACAGGTCTAAGGGAGGTTGCTGAGGAATCTGAGGTGGGAAGGGTCTGACGCTACTGTTCATGTTTTTGCCATGAATGGTCTTTAGCTTTGCCCACATTCTTTCCTCCCTTGTCCAGGTTTCCAAGTCCCAAGAGAAAGTATCAGGTTGGCTGAGCCTGTCCCTTCGCTGTGGTGATGGGTTGAGGAAGAGGAGGAGGAAGGGGAGTTGTTAATTTCTTCAGTCTCTGAAAAGGGAGGAAACTTCTGCCTCCCATCAAGACTGTGCGCGAAGGAGGAAACTCAAAGGGATATTGGTGCTATTGAGAAGGGGTTTGTGTGAAAATGAGACAAATGCTCTCCACCACCTGAGCCAATGATGCCTCCAGGAACTGGGGAAACACCTGGCGGTGGCAGAGATTTAGTTGTTGCTCAACACAGGACAGGCTGGACACCATCTCGCACAGAGGGCTGGAGCTCTGCGTGGCGCAGAAGCCTTTCCCTCTCTTGGTAATGAAGGCTCACTTGGTGAATCTTCAGCCAAAAACCTGGCATTTTGGTCAACTCTGGTCAATGCATAGTTAGTCCCGAAACTGGCTGGCTCAGTCCATTAGGGGATGGTGCTAATGAGAGCAATGGTTCAAACGGTCAGGGCGCACCTCACACCTTCGGGCCCTGGCTATTGGTAAAAGGGGGCACCATCCACCAAGGGGGCTGGTGCCTGTGCAGAGCCACCACTGCAACAGAAGACAGTGGGGGTGAGGGAACTTCACACACACGGAACCAAAGAGCAGAAACACAAGTGTCCAACCCACTCAGTTCCAACACAACCTGCTTAACGTAGCAGAAACCCAGCTGACAACGGACAGCATCACTCAGCCCTAAGGAGGGGGAGGAACTAAACTCCGCACAGTGGAAAGGGGGCTTAAGAATGAGGGTGAGCTGCCCCCAGATAGACAAATTGGACAAATGTCATCCACGTCCAAGATGAGTGGGGATGGGAACTTTCTCTGTGCCAGGGGGGCCATAGGAAAACGTGTCCACACAGAGAGCATCGACCCTCTGTCACCTCAGGAGGATGTACTGTGGCAGGGATTTGTTCGTCTCGGAAATGCCGGCTCTCTAGAAGCAAAACCACCCGTCAGCATAAGTAGCACCTCAGTATATGAGCATGTTCAGATGTCTGTGAGCTGGGGTGGGAAGATGGACCGGGTGGCCGTCTAGTGTTGAGACTCTATCCATGTCTGACATGCAGCCAGATTGGAGGGCCTGAGTCTAGATGCTCTTGATGTGCCCAAGACCACACAGGAGAACAGCCAGGGAGGAGAGAAAGGGAAGCTGAAGCTCTGAAACACACTGGAATGGAATTCTATGTGTATTTGAGTTAGGGCGACCACATGTCCAATTTTTCCAGGAGGGTCTCTTTACACCTGCTGTATTAAGAGTGTCCCTCTCTCAGAAGAAGAAGGAGAAGGAGAAGGAGGAGAAGAAGATAAAAATTATGAACCATAAAATAGTAGTATATGCTTATCTATCAACAATTGAATCTAAAAATAAAAATAAACGAATAAGAAATCTAATGAACAGAATAAACTGGTGAATAAAATAGAATCAGAGGCATGGAAATGGAACAGGCTGATGATTTTCAGAGGGAAAGGGGGTGGGGGCTGGGAAGAGATTAAACAAAGATCTTATATGCTTGTATGAATTACCTATGGACACAGACAATAGGGTGGCAAAGGCCTGGGGAGGGGTGGGGACCAGGTGGAGGGGGACTCGGGGGGAAAAAAGAGGGACATCTGTAATACTCTCAACAGTAAAGATTAAAAAAAAGAGTGTCCCTCTCATCTTAAAAGTGTCCTAGTTTGGATGATAAATTATATGGTCACTCTTTAAAAAAAATGTATGTTTTCAGAGAGGAAGGGAGAAGGAGAGAGAGATAGAAACATTAATGATGAGAGAAAATCTGATCAGCTGCCTACTGCATGGCCCCTACTGGGGATCGAGTCTGAAACACAGGCATGTGCCCTGATGGGGCATCAAACTATGACCTCCTGGTTCATGGGTCGAAGCTCAACCACTGAGCCACACTGACTGGGCATGGTCACTCTTATTCTATCTGTTCTTCCACGGCATAACCAAGACTTTGGGCTAAGGCCTGATGCATAAGCAAACGCCCTAGGAGTACACACATGGCCCTAGAGAATTCATGTTAGATCCCACAGAAGAAACTGTTCATGAGTTAGGGTAGGTGTCCTCCTAGCTCCTCATTGTCACTTCTAGACCATTCTCCCACCCTCCTCTGTATCTCTGAGCTCTGACATATTATCGGACTCTGCCATCTTGTTGCAGTCGTCATTTCTCCTCAGGTCTCTCCTCTCATTCCTGGAAGATTTCAACTCCAGGCTCACTGCCCTTCTCTCCACTCCACCTGATCCTACCATGGTGATTTCATCTAGAGTTAGGGCTTTAAATGCCATCTCAAGCCTGGACTTCTTCCTTAAATGCTAGACTTGCATATGTAACCACATCTTTATGAGGATTACTAACAGACATTGGGACTTAATCTGCTGCAAACAAAGCTTTCGCTTCCCTTCCATCCCCCAAAACCTGTTCCTGTTTTGGTTTTCACCTCCATAGCAATAAAAGGCAACTCCATCCTACAGTGACTCAAGGCACAGAACTTGGACTCACCTCAAATCCTCTATTCTTTCACACCCAATATTGGATCTGTCAGAAAATCTAGGGTATAGCCAGAATCTGATCACACCCCCCTCCCACCATGGCTCACACCCTGGTTCAATTCACCATCACTCTCCCCTGGATTATGATAATATTCCCTTAGTCTCTCTGCTTTGAACTTCTTGTCTCAACAGTTTATTCTCAAGCCAGCAACTAGAGGAATTCCAGTTCAAACTTATATTAGATCATGTCATTCTTCTGCTCAAAACCCTGCAGTAGGGTTAAAGTCAAATTCATTATGACCTAGGAAACGTTCTATGATCTGACCCCCTATTACCATTCTGACCTCATCTCCTACTAACCTGCTCCTCACTGGCTTTAATCCAGGCCTGTTGGCCTTCACGTCAGGCACAGTCCTACCCCAGGGCCTTTGTTCAGGAACTTGCTGTTCCTTTGGCTTGGAATACACTTCCTTTGGCGACCCACATGGCTCCCCTCCTCATTTCCTCATTCCTCCTCCATCTCAGTAAGGCCATCCCTGACCAACCTGTTAGAACCTTAATCACCCCACACGAATTCTATTCCCCTTTCCTGATTTATTTTTCTCCTTAGGCCTCAGCATTAACATACCATACATATTACTTATACAGCTTGTTTTGTGTCTGTCTGTTCCTCTAGTATGTAATCTGTAGGCAGGGATTTGGTGTATTTTGTTCACTGGTGTTTCTCTAGTGTCTAGAAAGGTGACCAACACATGTCAGTGGTCAGCGCTCAATAAATGTTTGTTGAATAAATGAATTAAACCACCAGTTATAGACACCCTTAGTTTGCTTTTGGAGATTTTTCCACTTTCTAACAAATTCCAAGAACCTTCCTTTGAAGGATAACTAGGATCTTCTGCCCCAACTTTTTGCCAATTTTTTTACACAAGCCTGGACCTATGGAAACCCAGACTTCCCCTGCACTCTTCCTAGAAAGGGGGTCCACCACCTCACCTGCTAGCCTGATAGGCAGCCTTTCATTGAACCACAACCTCCCACTGGTTCACTGTCCCCTCGTGGAATAAGTCTGTTTCCTGGTCGACACAGTCTGTGATGGTCCCTCTGACCCTTCTTTGTATATCTTACACAATAGCCCTTGCTTATCGGTTTCTTCTCTGACGTGGTTTTGTCTGCTTACCATCCTTGCTGCCCTCCTCCAGACTCAGTGCCTCGCCTACATGAAGGTCCCCCCAGAACTGAACATATGACTCCAGGAGTGAACCCCAGAGCGTACCATGAGATCATCACTTTCCTTGGGATTGTGACTCTCTGGCATGTCATAAAGACAGCATTTGCTGTGGTGATGGCCTCACTGCCTGGGCTTTGCCTGAGCTGGTAGGGGTACAGGTAGGAGGAGGTGTGGGTAGTTTGGGAGTTTGTGTGCATTGTGGTTGTGGTAGGAGGTGGCTAGACAAACTGTGGGCCAGGGAAATGAACAGGTATGGCAAAGATGACAAAGGTTGGAACAAGTTATTTTGGAAGAAGACCTGCAGGGTAACTAACATGTGACCTGGGGTGTGGATGGACAGGGAGTAGTCTGAATTCCCAGAAACTCTGCTCACGGCCCAACTTCCTGGGAAGGTTCCTGCGTCCTCTGGGTGGTCATCCTGCCCTCACATTTCCCCATTCTGCCACTAGATGGAGTGTTGAGGTGGAGGATGTGAAGTGGGATTTTTGGCATTTGTACAGAAAACCTGAAATCTAGATCCTGGGCAGGTTGCTTAACTCTGTACATCAGTTTCCTCATTTGTAAAATAATATATACTTTAAAGGATTCCTGGGCATAGCTAATGAGTTAAAAAATGCGGAAGTGCTTGTGAACTGTGGAGAACTATAAAAAAGACAACTATTGCCCAGCCAGTGTGGCTCAATGGTTGAGCGTTGACCTGTGAATCAGGTCACGGTTTAATTCTCAGTTAGGGCACATGCCCAGGTTGCGGGTTCGATCCCCAGTGTGGGACATGCAGGAGGCAGCCAATCAATGATTCTCTCTCATCATTGATGTTTCTATCTCTCCCACCCTTTCCCTTCCTCTCTGAAATCAATAACAATATATTTAAAAAGAAAGATAAAAAAGACAACTATTTTAACTATATACTGTTTTTTTAAAAATATATATTTTATTGATTTTTTACATTTATAAATTTTATTGATTTCTTACAGAGAGGAAGGGAGAGAGAGAGAAAGTTAGAAACATCGATGAGAGAGAAACATCGATCAGCTGCCTCCTGCACATCTCCTACTGGGGATGTGCCCGCAACCCAGGTACATGCCCTTGACCGGAATCGAACCTGGGACCTTTCAGTCCGCAGGCCGATGCTCTATCCACTGAGCCAAACCGGTTTCGGATATACACTGTTTTTAAAAAATATATATATTTTATTGATTTTTTACAGAGAGGAAGGGAGAGGGATAGAGAGTTAGAAACATTGATCAGCTGCCTCTTGCACACCCCCTACTGGGGATGTGCCCGCAACCAAGGTACATGCCCTTGACTGGAATCAAACCCGGGACCCTTGAGTCCTCAGGCTGACGCTCTATACACTGAGCCAAACCGGTTAGGGCACTATATACTGTTTTAAAATTAAAGTGTTAGGAGGGTAAAAGCTGTTTCTTGGCCCACACTCTGTAAAAGCATCGAGTTGTTCAACAATTCAACCGTCCCCAGATGGCCCCGGTCTAGAAGACCCCACCCCCGGGTGCCTGGGATTGGAGGGGACGCACCTGAAAATGGGGATGACGTAGTTGTTGGGGAAGATGCCCACTCGCCCGGTGACCAAGGAGACTCCCTTGAGCCAGCCGTCCTGGTACTTCCCCAGGACCCTGATGCCTTCTCCCCTCTGCAGGTCCAGCTCATCGGGTCCGTGGGCGGAGTAGGAGTGCAGAGCTACAAACCTGGGGGACACAGGGCACTGGTGAAGGACAAGGAGTACACCTCTAGGGGAGGGCAGGGGAGTGGCGAAGGGCGAGGGGAGATGGAACCTTCAGCCCAGTGGTTAGCGATAATAACCTTGCAAAACTGAAACCTCAATATGTAAGGCAGATGAAGATGGCAGAGAACCTGGTCTAAACAGCCGAAGGGGCCCGATCCCTGCCCTCTCCATGCCCCCCGACCTCCGCAGAATGTCACACAACTGCAAGTCACTAGTTTAGGCTACACCAGCATTTTGACAACGGGACACTGGCCTACAGTGGAGAAAGGAGTTGGTGACCAGAAATTAGTGGCAGAGCCGGGTCTCAGCCCCACACGTGATGGCTCTATGGAGGCTGCTTTCTCAAAAACACACGTGCAGCCAGCAGGCTCAGGGAAATGAGAGGTCGGCTGGAAGCCTCGACCCACTCCCTCTCCTGAGAGTAGAAACCTGTTTGCCCCCAGGAGCTAGCTTAACGTAGGCAGGGAAGTGGGCACTGGGCTGGGGGTGGGGCAGGGTTAGCTCTAGTTCTTTGGCGCACAGCGGGCTGCTGGCTGCATGGTGGGATGGAGGGGAATGGGCTTAGTATGGCGAAAATGCCCTCGGTTAGAGCAGTGATTTTCCACTGTGAAGTCCACACAGGGGTCGGGTAGGTCTCACATCCAGGTATGAGTCAGGGATGAAGACACTGGGGAATGGTGAGGCTGTGAGATGAGATACCTGCTGACTAAAGGCATCAGAAAATAGCCTACCTGGCATGCCAGCTTCAGGGGCTGCCGGTGTATGGCCCTCAGGCTAGACCTGAGCAAGTCCTTCTAGATTCTAAGGACTGTGAGACACTGGAAGGTCTTATCAAATGGGCTGGGGGTGGAGTGTTCTCATCTGCAAGTTCTTCCCCCTAGAAAATGGTACATTTTTTTTTTTTACTGATTACTAAAGCAACATCTATTTATAGCCCACCATGAATCTAAAGGAAGACAATAGAAATTGCTCAGTACACAATTTCCCAGCAATGTTCTGGTGTATAACCTTCTAGTCTCTTTCTACTTTGTGAAATAATGAGCTAGGATGACGTGCTTTGCTAATTTGTACTTTTCACCGTTATTTCCATTGGCGATTTTAAAGGGAGGGGAGCCATTGTCTCTCTGGAGGGGAAGGTTTTGGAGTGCTCAATGGCAGAGGGATGGCTAAGATGACCCCTCTGCACCAGGACCGGGTGGAGGGCTGAGCTTTTTACTCACATGTTAGCTGAGAGGTGTTGCTGGGAGCCAGGCAGACTGACGATGGCCATGGAATGTCCTGGGGAGGCAGGTGTGGCGTGGTACATGCTGACCTACACAGACAGAAAAGACAGCCATGCTGAGTCAGTGAGCGACACAAGCCAGGCCCACAGCAGAGCTGCTGCAGAAAGGCCTGATGCAGCTGGAAACCGAGTCGTGCCCAGCGCTACCCATCATGGGCCCTGTCTGTGGTTTGTGGGAAGAGCAGGGCGGGAATACATCGGTTTATGTCCTGGGGAGGTGGGGGGATGGGGAGGTGGCTTGCCAAGGCTGCATTCCAAGATTACTCAGGCAGGACTGAGAATGAAGACCAGTTGGATTGACAGTCAACAGGGCACCGCCAGACTCCTGGATCCGTCCCCGCCGGCCCCTCCCCACCCATCTCCCAGTGCATGCACCTCCCTCTCCCTGTGAAAACCTGCTCTCAGAAGATGATACAACGGTTAATATTGATTGAGAACTTAACACTTGCCAGGCACTTTGAAGTGCTTTACAAGCAAAGGTCATCTTTATTAAGGGTACTGTTATCCCTATTTTTGGATGAGGAACTGAGAGAAAGGTCACCCAACTAGTATGAAACAAAATGTAAAACCAGGTAGCCTAGGTCCGCCCCCTCATCCCCACCTCCCAGCTTATCCAGTGACTTATGGAGGATGACTCTGAACCCTTTTTACGTTTTTTCCAGAACAAAAGAGGGAGCAACAAAGTGATAAGCTCCTGGAAACTGTCTACTCGCCTGGGACTTTGCCTCTTATCTGATTAACTTGCCTAGTTCCTTCTTGGCACGTATCACAGCCTGTGATCGTTTCCTCATTTACTAACCATCCCTCCACTAGACTCTAAGTTCCATGAGGCAGGGACTGCGTCTTGTTCACCACTATATTTCTTATGTGCTCAATATATTGTTGTGGCTTAAAGAACAAGTGAATGAAAAAGTTTTCCTACCAAGGTCTAATGAAACCTCATCCATTTCCATGCCATCCAGAGTAAATACATCCAATCTGTCTCAGCTACCCACCCATCAGTGATGGTAACTGTGTATGTGTGCCCTTTTAGGACTCTGGTTTTGAATGCTACTGTTGAGTCTGAGTGTTTGGGCAGGTGTGAATGCATCACTGAGTGCATCTGTCTCCGGCTGTCTGTGCAAGTGTGTATGTTTGTTCAGAATCCATGACAGTTGTATGTGGATGTGTGGTGGCACCGGTCTGTTGTATGTCTGATTATATTCAGATATGTGGGTCTATAAGTTGATATGCACATATGCCATGTGTGATTATATGTATGTATGGTTGTATATGTGACTGTAAATGTCTATCTGGGATTCTGTGTGCTTGTGTATGAACTTTAGAGGTGTATGCAGGCATGTATGACTATAGATTTTTGTGTTGATGGTTGTGTAAATGTATGTGTGATTGTGACATTATTAAAATCCAGTTATAGGATCAGAAACCATTCCAGTCAGATAATAACCAGTGTTGGTGGTAATGTAGAGGAACTGAAACTCTTACACAGTGCTGATGGGAATCTAAAAGTCTGGCAGTTCCCCAAATGATTAAACATAGAATTACCATGTTACCCAATACGTCCACTCCCAGTACCTACCCAAGGTCACACAAAAATCTGTACACAGAGGTTACAGCAGCATTATTCATGATAGCCAAAAGGTGGCAATAACCCCAATGTCCATAGACTGACGAGTAGATATACAAAATGTGGTATATCCATACAATGGAATATCACTCAGCCATAAAAATGAAGTATTGATACATGCTAGAACATGGCTAAACCCTGAACACATTTTGCTAAAAGAAGCCAGATGCACAAAGACTATTATTACATGATTCCATTTATATGAAATGTCCAGAATAGGAAAGTCTATAGGACTAGAAAGCAGATTAGAGGTTTTTAGGGGCTTGGGGACAGAGGTAGATATGGGGGTGATAGTTAATGGGTATGAGAGTTAAAGGGTACAAGGGTTCTCTTTGCAGTGATGAGATGTAAAATTGCAGTAATGATGGTTGTAAATATCTGTGGATATATAAAAAAGCCACTGAATTGTATACCTTAAAAAGGTGGATTGTATGGTATGTGAATTGTATGTGAAAAGTCTTAAAAAAAAAAAGCGTTCCATGGTCACACATCTGAGGCTAACACTTCGTCAAGTGTTCTGATCTTGGCAATAAAATATTGTCATACTGGTTCCCTCAAACAGAGATGAAAGGAGCTGGCTCTGGGCTGGGCAGGTCCTTTCCTGTGACTGGGCAAGGTTAATCCTGCTGGGCATGGGAGCTGTGCCAGGGAGAGCCTTGTTATGCGAATAACTAATCTTATGTTTGTAGAGACTGTCGAAGCACTGGTTAAGCAGCATGAACTTCACTTAGCACCCACGACTTTCCAATGTTATGTTTGCGTAAAAAGTCCTTCCATCCACAAACACTATTAATCTTTAGGGAGGAGGGAGTTGCCAGAATGCAAAGCCACCCCTCCACTGCACCGGGCTCTCTCTCTTTTCTTCGCTAGGCCTTCCCAGAGAGGGGGTATTTCCTCCTATTTGATACATGGTACCTCACTAGGACTGAAATTGGTGGGCTTGTGTTGGAATTCTTTCTAATATGGAACAGTAAGGGAGGTCAGAGTCTCAGGTTTTGAGGTGTCTTGGAGGGGAAGGGAGAACATGAGTGGAGGAGGTGGAGGAAGAGGAGGGAGATGGGGGGAAATAGTGGATGACTCTGAGAGTCGGGAAGAGAGAAAGTGAGAGAGGCACAGACAGAGCCTCAGTGGGGGAAAGAGAAGGGTTCAGAGGGATAGAAGGAAGAAGGGAGAAGAAAGGGAAATTTTAAAAAAGATGAGAAAAATTCTGACAACTCATTAAAAGAAAGACAACACAATAAGAAAAGAGCAAAAACAAGATATATTGAGTGGCCAATAAGTACATAAAAAGATCAACATCAACAATTATACAAAAATACAAGTTAAAACCACTATGAGATACCACTATAAACCTAAGAGATTGGCTAAGATGATACAGATGGACCATACCAAGTGTTGGTGAGCATGTGGAGCAACTAGAACTAATTTACTGCTTGTGGGAATGTACAATGGTGCCACCACACTGGAAAACAGGTTGGCCATTTAAAAAAATAGTTGGATATACATTTATCATGCTACTCAGCAATCCTACTCACAAGTCTTTATCAAAGAGAAATGGAATCATGTCCATACAAGGACTTGTACATGAATGTTCATAGCGGCTCTATTCATTTTAGACAGAAACTGGAAGCAACCCAAATGCCAAGCAACTGGTGAATGAATAAACAATTGTAGTTTAACGACAGTGGCATATGCCTCAGCAATACATGCTATGACATACATGAATCTTAATACCATCCTAAAAGAAGCAGGACATCCAGGACTACATGTTCTGTGATGCCATTTATATGATATTCCTAAAAAAGCCAAACTATAGTGACAGAAAACAGATGAAAAATTGCCAAGGGCCAGGGGTGGGGAAAAAGGATCGCAAAGGCAGAGCCAAAACTGAATACACGAATGAATGGATGAATGTCTGACTGGAGTGATAGGGAAAGAGAGGAAGATAGAGAAAGGCAGGGAATGAGGAAGACAGAAGCAGACAGAAATGAAGGCCCGGTTCGGGAAATGAAGACAACCACATAGGTAGATGGCCAGCTTCTGAGGAGGCAGGTCTGTTCCTGCCCCTGGCATCGAAGATGGAGGCCCGCCCTCCTGAGTGAAAGAGCCTAGTGAGTGGTTCCCTGCGGTCGACTGTGACCTCAGGTCCCTGGGCCCTAGAGGTTTGAGGCCAGATGGAGGTCCTCCAGCAACGGGTACTTCCTGGCACAGTGTTTGGGGACCCGAGCTGGATTAGAGAGTGGGTGTGGATTTGAGGGTGAGTATTTCTGCTACAATCTAAAAACATTTTTCTTCCTTTTGAAGGAAATGACTCATTTCTAAAAGTCTTTATCAGAAATAGAAGCATCCACAGCTGTGTGGCCTCTGGGTGTTTTCAGGTCTTGAGGTTTCAAATGAGGGAGGAAGGTGGCGTGGAGCCTGGCACAGCATTGGTACAACATTCCGCTGGCCCCAGTGCCTTTCCCAGCAGCCACACAGGCGTAGAGAATGCAGCGCCCTCTCTGGACCTGGACAGGAGGTCTAGCTTCATGCTCAGGCATGTGCCTCTAGTGTTTACCAGGATGTGTGATCTTGGGCCAGTGATGGATTTCTGGGGATCTTCCATTTCCTCACCTGTACAATGGGGCAATAATGGCATCTCTCTCATAGAGTTGTTATCTGGAGGAAACAGCACAACCCATGTAAGTTGTTTAGCACATGTGAGTGCTCTGTGAATACGACTTATTTGGATCTGCAAAGAGATTAGCTGCTTGGTGTGGATGGAGCACTTCTTTTTATGCAACAGTTCTGCAAGGCCTTGGACTGAGCAGGATCCAAGAGTGTAGTGGGGGATGGGAACAGGCAACCCTACCTCTCCCGCTCTTCTGGAGGAAAATGTCCCCCTCCCAGCCCTTCCGTGGCCCGCGCTATTTCCTCCAGGGCTCACACCTTGGTGGGCATGGGGTGACTGTTTCCTCAGTAGAGTGTGGTCCATTCCAGAGGGGCCCATTGTCCTGCATCTCAAGATTCCCAGGAGCTAACAAGGGCCTTAACATACAGAGTGTTCCTTCAGGTTTGGGAGACGAGTTGCATTTTAGAGACAGAAGATTAGACATTATTTGGTAGCTTCTGTACCCACCACTGTGGATAATCTGGAGTTGACCATCTGTCTTTATAAAATTAAAAAAATCTTTCCTCTATAGATCAAGAGACTTAAGAGCCACATGCAGGAATTGCAATGTGTGAACCTTATTTGGCCCTACACAATGGGGTTAATGCAATGAGCAAAACACACAAGGCTCCTCCTTCCCCACGTGGTACTCAGCAAGTACACGGGAGGGAGGCGATTAAACCCATAATTATATAAGCACGGTGCATGTTAGGCAGGGGAAGTTCAAGGTGCTCTGGGCACCGTTGTGCCAGG